TATAAAATCTGAGTGCTTCTAGATTTCATTTTATCTTTTTTTTTTCCCTTCATTACGCTCAGGAAACATTTTATGCTCCGAATTTTATGAAAATTACTAAAATAAATAATCCACGTTTAATGTTAATAATTTAATGATGCATATAATCAATAAGATAATGATCGTTTTGTAATGTTATTATAGTTTGGAAAATCTCTGCCTTGAAAATGTTCATTAAAGTTTTTAAAAAAATTATCAGATCTTGTTTGATTTTACCTTATTTATTTCAAAACATCACGTACTATCAATCTTATTGAATTTTACTTTGTTTTTACGCAAAATTAAGTTCATAAATTTTGTGCTTAGAGTTTTTACCGTTTTACCAAAGTAAAGACGTTCGTACTTAAATTACGCTTGAAAAAAATGCGCGAAATGCAATAAAAAATGCTTTAATGAGATATATTAAATCTTATTAAAAAAACTGTGACTTTCATAATCTCATCACTATACAACGTATCACATTTAATAATTAAAAAGAGTTATGTGATACAAACGCTATAGGTTTTAGTGTTAAAGTAAACCAGATCGTCCCTACTTTTTCTTGCGGACATGTCGGTGACGCGCGCCCCGCCCACTGGGCTAGTCTGTCTCTTATAAAGTCCATGTACTCCCATCTATTCTAACCTCCATGGTTTTAGGATTGATTCACAAAATTATTTCTGTTTTTGCACTTAAGACAGAATTTTTTTATACGTATGGCACTTTCGATACTCATGAAATATTTCCGCATTTAGAGCAAACCTTTGTGGCTTATTTCTTAATATTTACCTCTATAGTAATATTCTTATTATGTTTGTTTAGTTCCTTTTTACTATGTTTAAAACATTATCTTTTATTAGTTTCATTCAATACTCACTTGTTTCCGTAGAATCCGCACATAACAAGAACTTCCAATTAAAAGAGAAATTTTAACACTTCTTCACTTAAATCGTATCCTATATAGTTCTAAAGATTCACTTTTATTTCACATTAATTCTTATTAACCTTCACACAATTTAATACGGGTGTTTTTACAACCAGTTATTAAACCTTTTCAAAAGAGTTTTCAGTGTTTTTCAATCTATTGCCAGGAGGACATTATTACACTTCCAAAGTGTAAGTTTGCATAGGTTATTGGTGGCTGAATATAAATATAAAATGCTATTTATAAATTTAGAGTAATCTTCTTCAGACAAATGTCAGAAATAAAGTTAGTATATTGCATAAAAATTATGCATTATTCTTATTTATATTGATATTATTTTATTCCACTAATGAATTTTTAAATAGTTTTTCTCGCTCGGCTTAGTAAAAAAGTAAATAATTTAATCCTTAATTATTATTAATTTTGCGTGTAAACAGGAAGCTTAACCCTTAACCATTATAGTCGAATCCAGGAAGGTCGGAATGATGTCGCAGGTTTAACACAATGTAGTCTGAGAGATCATTGCCACAAGCGCAAATAAACTTATTATGGACAAATCTGATTAAGTGTTAGCAACGAGTGTTGAATTCTAAAGATGTAAGTCATCGACATTTATGTATTTTCGTCGCTACCGATTATGGATGTGCGGATATTTAAATGTACGAATGTTTCAAGGGAAGGATGCGCGAATTCTTCTGCATGCAATAGTTATAGAATTATTAACAGTTAAAAAATGCAAGCGTAACTAAGCCTAGCGAGGTGTATTTTGTTTACATATGACACTGTGTGAATAAAGACAGATAGTAGTGAATTAAGACAGATGATTAACGGTCTTTAATACCTTTCTACCCAGTCGAGCCAAAAGCTAACTAAATTTTTATGCTCTGACAATTTTGCGTTCTTGCCCCTTGGCCGAAACCGTGTTTTGGTGTAGGAACTCTAATTTTAATTGCATAAAACTGATTTTTTAACTGTATTCGGTGTTTCATTTATTTATTTTTTTTTTTTAATTTTACATTTTTTAATGAAGATGTTTTGTGTTTTTATGCATTTTTACTTTCCCGCGGAGTGAGAATTTAATTAATTGAATGAGAAATATATCTTTAGTGAAACTGGAGGAAATAAGTTTAAATGAAATTCAGCAAAAATGTGCATAGTTTAATAGGCCGTACAAAGAAGTCATGTGCTGTCCGCATCATACTTTTTAATTTAATAAATATGTGTCATGTAAAAATGATTTTTATCTAAATAAACAAAAAAAGAATATAAAAAATTGCATTAAAGTATTAAGAGATTAATACCCTAATATTTTAATATCTGTGTACAATAAAATCCAGTATAATTTCGTATTATATTATCGATCAATTCCTCGAGGAATCTCTACAAATGTAGATCCCCCTCCCCTGGATAAGGAAAAAATAGCGAGTAATAGTGTTTAAATATGGATTTTTATTTAAAAAAATAACTAGCAGAACATTTTTGCATTACTGAAACTTTAAAGCAGCAGGTCTCAACATCGGGTCCGCAACCCATAAACAGGTTGCAAGGCAATTATTGATGAATCATATTTATATTTGAAGTTTCTAACTCACATATTTTTTTATATAATTCTAAATAGCTATTTATAATTATTAAGTAACTTAATAAATATTACCTATTTGCTTATAATTAGATTTAACCCTTTCGGTCCTAATGGGCACATACATCCCAGAGATTAGGTTTAATTCCCTATTAGGTAAATAAAACCCACTTTTAAATGGGATTTTACGTTTGCAGTGTTTTTAAGGATTTAGGGAACAAATATATGACTAAAGAAACCTGTCCTATTTTTTGCCAAATGTGTCAGGTTGCATTTTGTAAAGACTACTTTCCATCATGTTATATTTAACTTATTCGGTACATTTCACTTAAATTATTATTTATTCGAGCTCACCAGCGGCCGAGCGGTAAAGACGCTGAACACTGGTAGTTCGGTCCGAGGTTCGAATCACGAGAAAGGGCTGGCTGCATGGGCGTTTCGTGGTTTTCCCCATGTGTAAACGTGTATACGAGCCAGTTTCCCTTAGAAAGTCCTCCACGAAGGCATTCCTCCCTTTAGGCAGATAGCCCTCGTGTGCTTTGTCGTAATTTAATAATCCAATCCTATTATTTATTCACATGCAGTGTAACGTTATTATCACAATATCCTAGACGATTGGGACAGATAGTCCCATTTGACAACACGATTTGGGCATATTGTTCCAGGAAAAGGAAAAAGTCAGAAACTTAACTAATATTACACTTCTTTTAATATGCCAACCTTTAAATTAAACTACTTTTCATTGTTAAATTTTAATTATGCAAAAGTTGGGTCGAAAGGGTAAAATATTATTATTACACTATTACATTATTCTACTCTTAGATTTTCTGGTTTGCACATCCCTTCCTCAAAGAAACCTTATGTTATCTGAAGTTTTAAAGTTAGGGTATAGGTTTAAAGCAATGGTCTTCAATGTCCCGCGGAACCCTGGGACTCCGCTACTCAAAATAAAAGGCTGGAAAGAAAATTATAAAGTCCTCATACTAGTTGACTAGAGTTTATTAACTAAAAATGTAAAGATAAATTTCGTTATAGATTAGTTATAAAACTTAACATGTGGTTATCTTGTGTCAAAAGAATGACATGGAATGCTTTATGAATATAAATCGAAAATGGCTTTAACTTAGACGACAGTGCTAAAAATTATGCAATGAAACATCTTTTTCATTTGAATAAAAACTATAAGAGAATATTTCCCAGAAGAAAAATTAAGTATGACTGGATAAAAAGTCCGTTTCAGTACTACGCTAAATCAGAAGCAAACAATTTATCCACACACCAACGGACTCGAAGTTAAAATGCAAATTTAAGAAAGAGTAGTCCCCAAACGTTTTGGCTGTAGATCCATACAGAATACCTAGAAGTTTCTCATTCAGCTATGAATATTTTAATGCCATTCGGAACAACGTATACATGCAAAAAATTATTTCGAAAGTACATGGCCACAAAAATAAAATATAGAAAAAATTAAATGCCGAATATGAATGCGATTGCAGATAATATTGTTACGAAATGTCCAGCTGCGATAAGATAGCTTTCCCGCAAGGCGGGATTAGAGTTGCCAGATTTGGCCCGAAATCGCTCATTTTTCGACTTTTGACGACAAAATTGGCGATATGCCATAGACGGATGGAGAATATTCTAGAATGAATTCTTACCAGTTTTGCCCAGACTGTTCTCGAAGGTAAGCAGAAAGCTATATAATCTCTGCCTGTACGCGGAGTAGCAGTCCAGTCTAGTGTCGAGTGTATCGCGAGTTAGTGCATCGAGAGTGTGCATCGCATGAGGCCATCGAGTGTATCGAGTGCATCGTCGAGTTGTAGTGTGGAAAGTCTCGAGAGTACGTTGAGTTCCGAGAACGATCGAACCGAGTCGGGAGCTGTACTTTAGTGCTTTGCCGTGAAGCTGTCTTCAGCGTTTATAGCCTGAAGGCTGTGTTGCTGATTGCTTCAGCGTGTTTGTCATAGTTTTTCGACGACTGTAAACGTATTTTTGGAGCTGTCCTGAGTAACACTGGCTAATAAATTGTATTTTCATTCTTCGTCAAGTGTTGTCGTCTATTGCTCCAACTCCATGAGCCCGTAGAAACGCAACATTACCAACAGAGATACACTTCCATAGTTTGTGCTAAAAAAATGCAAGCACAGACCTGTCACTAAATATAATGCAAGGGTAGGTGACACCTAGAGCACGAGTTAATGCTAGTAATGAGCAAATTACTTTACTTTTGTGTTAAAAATTTTTAATAAAAAATTTAATACTTTTCTTTAATTGTTTTCGCATAAAATAATTATTAAAACATACTGATCTATTCTAAATACTATTTCAACATATGTTTTTCTAAGGGTAGAATGAGGTTCCCCCCAAAAAAAACCTTATTATTTTAAGGGTTTCAAGAGTCGACAAAGTTTGAAGACCACAGCTTTTTAACATAGACTAACACAGATGGTAATTTTCACTTTTCTTTTCTTCTTTCAGTTCTTTTGTTAACCACTTCCTGTTTCGCTTTTCAAGAAGACTTACATGGCGATGGTAACATTTATGCAGCTGTAGTTAATTCCTTGCAAGAGCTGAAAGTTCGAAAACTGGCTGAAAAAGCAGGTGTTCATTATGCACAAAATAATATACAACGTGCATCCAGCGTTTGCTACGATGAACTAGGATGCTTCGACAAGAATGGCACTTTCAAGCACCTCAAGCAACTTCCTGAACCTCCCGAGTCAGTAAATACTCAGTTTTTGCTCTATACAAGAAAAAACCAGCTCAAGCCTCAGATGCTCGATTACAAAAAACCAGAAACCATTCTCAACAGCAATATTAATCCTGCTTTGCCATTAAAATTCATCACTCATGGGTTTGGAGGGAAGAACAACTTGACATGGGTCTGGGCAATGAAAAATGCCTTTCTGAAGAAGGTAAGTTATTTATAAATATACCGTGTACTTGGAAATTTACAGGATTTGTTTAATGAAATATTAGTTCCTGATATATAATTTCAGTTAGGAATTTTAAAGCAAAGTATGGCTAGTAAAATGAAATAATCTTATCAAAACAGGTTTACTGTGAATGGAAGGGTTCTGGCAAAATATATTCGAAGGTTTTATAGGTTTTTCTGTAGAGTAAAAACTATAGTGAGTAAAATATTGCTTATCCTTTACTGAATTGATGAAAAAAATCTATCAATCCATTCAAATAACCTTATATATTTAATTAATGCAGGATAGAAAACAACATTCAAATTAGTCTTGCACTAGAGCAATTTTTTTTTACAAAGGTAATTTAAGCGGACCTACCAATTAGGAGACGTTGACAAAGTTACAGTTTTTTTGCAGAAAGTTATAGCAAAGTAAAAACAAGCTCGGATTGGGGGGGGGGTCGTATCTCGATTTAACTAAAACCATTCTAAAATGTATTTTTAATTTAATGCTTCAGTGGTTTCAAACTGCCGGTCCCTTAAACAATTTTATGCTGCCCTCGAATACATTTCAATTAAGTTGTAGAGTTATGATGTTATTTTGAAGCAGGAGTTGTGAAAAATGAGCAATGCCCGCGCCAAGATTCGAACCTGGACCTCTGAAATACGCACCGAGTGTGCTAGCGTTACATCACGAAGCCATGCCGAAAGGAGGGAGAAAATACCTTATATGCTCCCCCTTTTAAAGGGCGACTGAGAATTATGAGACCCAATCGCCAAGTCTTGGCGATGGAGAATCTTCATCCACCACCTTTTTTTGTAGTTCGGGCGCCACTGTAGAGACATTAAGTTATTTTGAAGTAGGAGACGTGAAAAATGAGCAATGCAATCGCCGAGACTCGAACCTGGACGTCTTGAATACGCACCGAGTGTGCTACCTTTAGATAACGAAGGCATGCTGAAAGAAGGGAAAAAATGCCTTATAAAGTATTTGTTGCAAATACAATGCTGCAAAGAATCCAAGATTTTACAGATTTGAATTTCAAATTTACATTATTTTCGTTATTACTAAAAACAAACGTGAATTAACGCTACAGAAAATCTATAAATAGTGCTAATTAATTAAAAATGTTACATAAATATTATTCAAAGCTTTGAAGGTAGATATTTTATTAACTTTTATTCGCACTTGTTAAAAATTAAATAAGGTCAGTTACGAATCGTTTACACTAAGAATAATTGCTTTGTTTGGAATACATTTAAATGTGGACAATCTTTCTTCAATAGTTGAAAATTAATAACCGAATTAAAAGATGAGTATCTACAATTCGTGATGAAGATAATTTATAGAAATTTTTCTCCAAAGCTACAAACTTTGTCAGAATCGAAACGCCATCAAGTATCAAGCCGTAATAAGAAATAAAGAAGTTTATCATTATTTACATACAAACATACATAAAATGTATTTTTAGTTAACGTGTCAAAGAAAAATTTAATAAATAAGAGAAAGAAACTAGATCGCCATTATTTATTCCCTCCTGGAAAGTTTTCTGTGAAAGTTTAGAAGATTTTCATAATTTACCTATTTTAGTTAAGTAAATTAACGAATTAATTAGAATTATTTGAAATAACGTCAGTCTCAAAATTTCATATTTAGCTGTCACTATACTTGAATTACAAAGTGTAACCAACAAAAATGTTTTGCTGGTACCAAACCTTTTATTTAGATAGAGTATTTGATTGTTTTCTTGCATTATTTTTTTATTTTTTACGAAAAAATATTGTTCGCGAAAAGTTTCAGCAACATAATATTTCACGAAAATATCCATTTTGACCGCTATCGAATGCAATTTAACGATGTTTTTGCTTGATATCTGTGCTTAAGGACAGAATAAAAAGACACACTTTCCTCCAAAAAAATTATAAAAATTGCTTTAAAAATTAATTCTGAAGAGAATTTTTCGTGCGTCTGTACGAACGTATGTACGTACGTGCGTACGTACGTACGTATCTCGCATAATCAAAAAACGAGTAGTCTCAGAACGTTGAAATTTGTATATAGGACTGCATAACATGTAGATGTGCACCTCGTATTTTGGTTGCAATCGGCCACACCAAACGTATATAAATATATTTATATATATATCCATTCTGTTACCCGGCTCAGTGATCTCAGTTTCTTTACTCTTATATGTTTGTAAATTGTATATTTTTTGCTTTAAAAATGATTGAATTATGTTGTTTTTATCTTCCGGTTAAGGTTTTTTATGCCTTTCGTAATTCTGGAAGCAAATTTGTAGAATTATCAACATTTAAAAAGCTGTTTAAGTGCGGTTACGTTTTAAATAACATGCGGACATATTTGTTTACATTTGAACAGCAGAATTGTAGTTTTTTTTGCCACTCTAGAGAGACTAAGCTTCGCAAACAAAAATAACGCCTTCATTTATTGTTTGCGAATTAAGTTATGCTTATCCTTTCTGGAATTTTTTTAGAGAAAAAGTGGTTTAAGATTTACTTCGTAATTTTTAATGCAGATATTTTGAGTTTTAGTATTTTTGTTTGTCGCGAAGTGAGAGCTGAATTAATTAAATGAGAAATACTAAATCGTCTGTGAAAAACTGTTTCTTTTCTGTTTTGTTTGCTATTTTCTTTCATACATCGTTTTAGCTTTATTATGGTATTTGAATAGAACATGTGGCAACGATAATTCTTCAAATGATATAAATTTTGTGCATTCAGAGTGTCGTTATAGTAAACAAATATAGTGAATTTTAAAGAGTGCATTTATTCTTTTGTGGTTTATGCGCTGTCGACGAAGTAGATTTAATTCAATCCAATCAATTTAAATGAAATTCAAGAAAAAATGCGTATAGTTTAATATTCCGTACAAGGAAGTCATGTGGTGTACACATCAGATTTTTAGATAATATTTTGATGAATATTATATAAGCAAAATTTAAAATTTAGTTAAAGTATTTTTTTATTTTGTTGATAAAAGCTTTCGCTTTGGAAATATATATATATGTATTCTGGCTCGTCAGCTGTTTTTAGATCGTGCATTCAGTCCAAATGATTTTCAGACTACTTCAAGCTATCTTCTCAATATCTGAATAATTTGTATTATCTGAATCGGGCTGGTTTAAAAAAAGGGGTGAAGAAAATATTATTATTATTATTATTATTATTATTATTATTATTATTATTATTATTATTATTATTATTATTATTATTATTATTTTGCTATTATTATTATATTTTATGTTACGCCCCGAAAGGGCTTTTTTTTTAACGTTGTGTGTGTTACCTTTAATTATTAAATATCATGTTCTTTGAACTTAAACGACATAAAATTCAATTCAACAGCAACATCACAAAATATTTAAAAACAGCAGATCTTTAGAATTTCCGACAGGCAGTCTCGCACGCTGGAGATATAAAGTTCTTTTCCGTACAGTGTTGCCATTGCTTGCTTTAAAATCGCTGAGTTTGTTAATCAAAAATTCGTTACAGTTTTACAAAATTTGAAATAAATAATAAAACAAATTTGGTATTCAAAGTTCGGGCTTCCGAATGCCTATGTTCGGTTGGAGGACTACGGTATTCAAAATTGGATTGATCTAGGTACCGTTGTTTTTTCACAATGCGAGAAACATTCATGCATTCATGCAAATTCTTCATTATTTAGTTTCTTTAAATATTATACATGGCGATAATGTTTAATGGCAACAATTTGAAAAGTGAATCAACGCAGAAAGTGAAATGACGCAAAATGACGTTAAGTTCGAAAACTCCCTTAAAGGTTTGATATTTGCTTTTGACCAATCTGTCGGGAGTGGCCAAATTGATCAGGCCTTTAGATATCTCCTTATTGGAAACGTTGCTATACAGAAGAATTTACCACAGGGGTAAACTGATATTGTGCCCTTGAGAACTATACCATCGAAAAACAGGTCAGAAGAAAGTTCTGTTGACATTTTCATTATGCTATAGAGATAACGTGTGTTTTGTGTCATCTTTTCGAAAGGATATAAAACGGCACTACTACGAGTATATCACGTTTTCGGAAGCAGAGAAACAATTATTATACGATTTTAATTGTAATAATAATAGTAATTGTGTTCTAAAACGTTTATAAGCGCCGCTTCATAGGCAAAACGCAGAAACTAGAACGTTGAGACAGAAAAGTGAAAACTGTACAATGCCCTCACAGGGACTCGAACTCGGGATTGGACCTTTCGAATATGCTTCGAGCATGCTTCTAAGTACACCACGAAGTCACGCGGAAAGGAGGGATAAAATACCTTATAGTCTGTACAATTCTTTTTGATAAACTCAGTCTTTGTCGAAATTTCTAATTACTTTGTATTGCACTGTACACAATCTCGTTGGTGCTTTAACCCATTTTCCAAGAGCCCATTTTCTAAGTCTAGATCTCAGATTCCGATCGACCAGAAAAGTATACGACAATTGCAAGCTTGACAGAAGGTCTCAGCTCAACTGAAAAAGGGAGTAAAAATCCTTTCCTTATTTCAATATAATGGATATTGAACCTTGTAGGAAGAACAAAGCTAAATTTTCAGTATGAACAAAATACTTTTATTTGAATTTTAAAATAGAACCAAAAAAAATAAATGCTGCAACTCTTAACTATCAAAATTTTAAACTCTTAACTACTACAGTTAAAACTCTTACAACTGTTATATATTAAAATCTAAAACTCTCTAAACAAAATATATAAAAATCTCGAATTCTTCTGTGCCACACCGTAAAATGCAATTTCTTGTCCTATTATTTATATTTCACGTTCTCTTTAAGTCACGATCTTTACAAGTCATGATCTTTACAAGTCACGATCTTTACAAAGGGGTTCTAACTTTTTGGAGAATATAGACTCTACGGAGGAAAATGTTCTAGCTACAAGGCAAGAAATGTGAAAATTATTAGCTTGCTATGAAGAAATTTTACATGATAGAAACTCATTGAGTCGCCAAACGAATT